CTCAGTGCAGAAATACAAACTGTAATTTATATATATTTAAAGTTTAAATATTATTAAGGTATTCTTGTCAGAAACTAAGTGTATATGTGTATATCTGTGTCAAATGCATGATGTGTTATTTTATTTATTAATTAAATAAACACATTATTAAAACTTAAAAAAAAAAAATCTGCTCTCCTAAATTAACAAACTTCCGTAGCCAGTGAAATTTTCGTTAAAAAGAGTACATAGTTTTAACTATATGTGTTACTATTGTGATAATAATAAGTGGCAATCGCACTAATTGCTTGGATTTCAAATTAAGGTAGTACCTGTATTATGAGACACCAGACAAAGGACAAACTGTGTGCACAACAGAACCTCTAGAGCCAAGCTCTAAATTGGCTCTGCTCTACAGGTTATTTGTGCGTAAATTTCGTTTCCAAATTAATATATTGGAGTATATCTAAGAAATAGTTGAACCTTCGACCTTATTAAAGGCAAACAACGTACCTGCACATACCGACTATTACTTGCTTATAGTAGACTGCAACGTACAGACTTTTATCGCATTAATGATAATACAATTGCTGACGTGTTTATCGGAACCAATAAATTTCATTGAAAGCCAAGTCAGAATTTACTTGGAATTGAACTCTGCAACTTTCACGCGCGCCGAACATTTATCAAGTGTTGTGAGTAACTTGAAACTCATTATGAACTATAACTGCAATTTTATGCTGACATTTGTACTGCAAAATCACGTGTCTGTCTAGACTCATAAAAAACATATGATGACTAAACATTTCATTACGGATAATAATTTTTGATACATTACAAAATAAGTATGATAGAAATATGCACTTCTATTTTAAGGAAAAAAGTAATGTCATCCCCTTTGTATTAAATAAAATCCATCACGCTATATTTTTAAATTCCCGAGGCGTGCCGCATGCTGGTGCATTATTTATTGTACTATCCTCTGATATAACAAGTTGGTGCAGAAAAATCTCTTTTTACCCGCACTAAATCTATTTATATATACGTATAATAAAAATGTCACACTGTCTGTACAATATACATGGAAGATATATGAGAAAAGTATAATATTATTGGAGGACTATATCAACATAATAGAACCCAAAACAATGTTTGTCTGTTTGGCCGTTTATGCGCGGTAATCTCATATTTATTTCACTATGGCATTCATAAGACGGCTTCACTAAAATTTAATGTAAAAACCACACTAAATTTCTAATCCATTTACGAACTAATTAGTAATACCGATATAAAGTCGCGAGATCAGCCAGTAAGTAAGTAGTCGCTCTTCCGTAAATTATTTTCACCTATTTATATTCCGGACTGGAGTTGAGTAGAGGGCAAAAATTGCATTTCAGTTTACCTCTGGGAAATCGATATGACAGAAATAGATGTGAAAAAATGTGATGGATTTTAACAGCTTTTCATAGATGAAGATAGATGTTATAAACAAAATTCATCACTACACATATATGTATTTAACTACTGTTAAATAATGAGACAAGAAGATTATAAAGGAATAAAATAGACGTAAATAAAGGTTTTGCATATGTACCCCTAAGAATTAACATAAAATTTTCAAAAGCGCATCTTTTATGGACTTCTAATTTAATATATTTTCTTACTTTATTTAACTACTATATAACTACGTGGTATGTTAATTATAGTACCAATAATGCATTTCTTCAAAATTTCTTTTTGTTATATGTTTATACAAAGTATTACAAAATTATGACACAGTAACAAGCATCTAGAATTAACAGTAAACATTCATCCATTATTCCCAATCGCATTTCGACGTGGAAGTGCCACGTTACGAAATATCGTCTGAGTATTTATCGCTGTACAGTCTACAAACAAAACGACTGGAAAAAAGCAAGATATGAATGAATTATTACTTGTAGTTGATGCAGTTTGTCAAAATCTGATCCTTTACTTTGCTTCATTTAGCCGTAATATTTAAATATTCTTATTGCTACCTAAAGACAAAAAAATTGTTGTAGCTTTATTTTTGTGAAAGAAAACTTAAACTATGTATTTGTAGTATCTATTGTTTAATTATTTCTTGAACAGACTATATTTCGCTATTCAAATATATTTTAGTTGTTCATTGTTTGAATCCGTCTTCATTTATATTTAAAACAAAAAACATATCCATTTGTGCTCGATCTCTTACAGAATGGGAAAACTGAAACAAGTACGACGTTTTCTTATAGAAATCTCTCTCGTATTAAAGCGAAACACTGTTTTGTTGGCATCTGTACTTTGTGATGGACTTTTTTTAGATCATCTCGTGGCCCATATACATAGGCAAGTGTATTACGATATCATTTTACTACATAATTTTAACAGTCTAAAAACAAGAGTATTATTAGATCGCTTTGTTTGTTAAACCCACGCAAGTTGTATTTTTATTATTACTTTTACATATCCGGAATTAAAATTTCATGTTAAAAATGTTTATTTATATAATAATATATTTGCAATTGCTTTCATTCTAGAACATCTTGAGAGAAAATTATAAATCATAGATAGAATGATTAGATTTATTTTGGGAAAGTATTAAGTCTAGATTCATTAAAAATTAAACGGCATATTACCTGCAGAGCGTGAGCAAGGACTGTAAATTATGCGCCAGGAATACCACAGTTAACAGCTCGTTAGATATTTAAAATTTATGCACTCAGGACCGCAGTGGAGAAGGCTAATTTACCACTTACCTCAGAGAAGCCGGCACAATCGAGTCGGCATAACAATAATATTTTAAAATACTCCAAGCACGCAATGCATAATAGCGTAAACATCACGAGAGGAACAAATTATTAAGTAATTGAAATTTGTTTGTATAATTGTGTAATTATAATTTAAAATACATTCTGTGGACTAAGCTGTGTATGAGGTAAGAAGGTATTTATCACTGTCACTAGACAACTAGGGACACGAAGTACAATACGCCAACAGAAGACAAAGTAATATCTATATAAAAAGATAATATCAAACCACTGTTTTGTTATTTAAAAACACTCATTTATACAGAGAAACCTGTAACAGCAATGACTAATTTTAATGAATCGGTATTTTTCACTTAAACTTCATGTTTGAATATATGCTGCCGCTAATAGTAACGTAGTACATATATTAATTTGTAATTTCTCCCATCATTTCAAATATTATAAATTATAACCACAAATACCTTAACAGATGTAGATTATAAAATACTATTGTTGTCACCTACAACGTATTTTGTGAAGAATTTATATCGTTTTTAAAGCTATGATTATCCAGTCGATAAGCCGGTAAAGTTTGGTGAAACGGGCTTACCATTATTTTGGATTTCTGTAGCACCTACAGTATAAATGTTAAAATAATTTCATAATGTTGTGTTTCATGTTCGAAATTCAGTCTTAGTCATACCATATAACTGTACACATAAGCATTAAATGAGTTTTGAATGTAACAAACTACTAATACTAGTTACAGATACGAACTACTAACAAAACCTTAATAAAAATAAAAATACTACTACGATGTACAAGTTAAACCAACACATTAAATATAATAAACGTTTAAATCAATATTTCTTTAAAGAAGCTACTACTAAATAAAATATACTATCGATTTGGTGTACAGCCCTGGTTGATTATAGTAGCCATCTTATAGAAATCATGTTAAGATTCATTTTCTATAATCAGCTATTAAGATAATTATTAAAAAAAATTACGAACTAAAACAGTTTAGTCAATAAGTTATAGAAGTAAATCACTTTATGCGTCGTATGAGGGCTTTGTCACCTGTAGCACCTAAAAAAGGTACATCGATCGTTATCCATCTTTATTCATGCTAGCTACTGGCCGTGCAAAATGTAGACTAACTACTGGGTCTTATTATACGAAACTCTGCAACTTCGCACTCTACATTTTTTTCTATCTATATTATTTTAATCACTAGATTGGCATACAAGCTGACGGTAAGTTTCAATCATAAAAAAACCATATAAGTCACATCATCAAGCCACACCCGTAGTAACTCTGATGAATATCTATTCCGAAGGACTAAGTTGTCATCACGATACTCTGTACTTTTACTGCCATATCTCACCCTAAAACTGAAAAAACATACTGGTAGTCGGCTGAAATTGGTGAGATAAAGATAGCTAGACGTCTTTTTACAAGACCTATTTCTTATTTGTTGGCATTCTATGTTTTTAAATAACACTTTATAGATACAGTGTGGCAAACAAACTGACAGTACAAGCAGAACAGCGATAACCGCTGTATATAGACATAAAAATCACATACTGTGACATTATTGATATGTGTGGCCTCCTGAGGACGAACGACTGTAACTAGGTTAATGATATTTCTCTTCAACAGACATTTGGGGAAATTAATATTGGACAAAAGTTTGTTACTGACCAGATTTAAATTTGTAAATTATTTACTATAAATCTGAACAGAAAAGCGAAACAGCGATGTACTCTGAATATTGCAACATTACTTTAAAGTGTTCTATATTTTTAGAGAAAAGAAATATGAACGGTAATAACACTTGAGAATTAAACATTTTCAATTGCAGAATCGTATAACCAATTGTAGAGTTATGTAGTTGCAGAGTCATAGAATAGACCATAAATCTGTTAGACCGATTCGAGATGGGATTTAGTTTATGTTTCAATATAACATTAGAGTTATTGTGAACGAACTACAATAATGGGTACTATATAAGTTGAAGTTTATGCTTTTAAGATATATCAATAGTATATTATATTAAAAACTAAAGTTATCCTAAAATCCAGTCATTAGGCTTCTCAACTTGATTTCAACAGTGAAAAGAGTCTGGACATTAGCCCAGCACTGTGACAAATACATACATTATGAAGGTTTCAAATGTAAAGTATAAGTTCACTAATATTTAAAAATATTAACCCCTCAATCACTCGAATGGGTATAACAAAACTATCAGGTGCAGCTAGCAATGAATACCTGAATGGTATCTCTTCTCATTGTGCGTGACACGACGATGAGTCCGTCTGTTCCTGGTATGCTGTCGACTGCATCCGCCTTCACCGCGAGGACCTCGAGGTGGCTGGCTACCTGCTGCATTTAGAACATCCCTTGTACGTTTACCATATTTGTGTTCGACTGTGAGTAGTAGACATACTGACGGTCGATGATAAAAAGAGATAATCATAGCCTATTGAGACACCTAATATATTACCTCTCCTGAGGAAAAGTGTCATGCCTTGTACTCTATAATTTCACTACCATACGCCAGAACCAACTAAAACCTCAAAAAGAAGCATTTATACAAATTGCTTGAAGATGGCGTATTTAATAAAAGATACAAAGATGTCGACTTCATGCATTCATCATTTATAAAACAAAATAACAATTGTCTATTTATCCCTTCAACTACAAGTAGAACTATGTGTTTCTAGGTGGTTTTCGTGGAATATGGGATCCAAATAAAGTATGGTCTTTTTCTGTTATCAATAATACTCGCCGCATTCGCCGCGCGTATAGTCCTTATTCACTGATGGTGAAATTTTGTGGTCACAAAATTGTTAACTAATAATACTTCGTTCTAAATGCCTCCAGCATTCAGAACGAAGTATTATATTTATGAATTACACTAATATTTGAAATGTACATATAATTTAAGGCTAATTCGGTCGACTCTAATGACTTCAACTTGGACTCGAAAGCATTTCATCATTATTTCTTTTTCTTTTCCTATACCTGACCCACACAGAAAGTGTGTAGACACTAGTACTTTTTCCTGGGTAAGTCATATTATACGTTTGTCCTTACATGGTATCTCCTACATAATTTATCTAAAACTTTATTAGCAATTTCATTACATTTTTAACTATTATGTATCAATTATACTCTATTAACTAATAACTTTTACTCCAAGTACTTAAAAACAAGTATTTATAAGTTTACGTTTGTATAAATAAATTCCATGCCTAAATATTACATTGTACTAAAGGGTCAAATGTCGAAACGAAAATAAAAAAAGAGGAATACATAAAAAATAAAACTAAATAATAATAGTTGTGTAGGGGTGTCTTAACCGGTGTAGTGTTTGGGCTGGGTATCAAGCGGGATCAATGACCTCAGCGGCTGATAACAGTCGAGGTGAGGACGTTATCTGGTGGCGTAATGCAGGCCCCAAAATTGTAGTGAAGTAGGGGGATTGGAACGCCCGATCGATATGTCGAGATGACAGGGCGAAAATGCAACAGTGTGTAACCTTCGTCTAGACAGCAAGGTAAAAAGTCAAAAAGCAATGAACTTCAGAAAGGAAGTACCATGCTGATACTGATATATTCTAAACCTAATTTAATTATTTTTTTCTTTGCAATCGACACAAGATCATCTTGATATTATTACAGGTTATATTTTTAGTGTATATTCGTAAATATTTAACTGTGACAATCTTTTAATCAAATGTGTATATAAAATTCAGGGTTCAAAAAGAATCATTTATATCCAACAATTATAGGGTATTAATTCGCCGACAAAATATAAAATAAAATATTGATAATACTGTATAGGAGTCGCCAATTTGTATTTATTTTTTAATATGGATTGTCGTTAGTGGTGGACAAAAACAATTACTTTTAGCAAAAGATAATTCGTTATTAGGTTCCTTTTTTTAAAATTACAGTTATTATTTATTAATAATCCAAATGTATTAGAGCTTGAAGATTGATTTGGCGTAATACCCAATAGCTAATATTGTAATAAAATATATAAGTAATTCGAAGTTCACCAGTTCATCTCGTACAAAATACAAATTAACCTTCACGATTAACTTTTACGTTATATTTCAATTTGAACCTCAGGGTCGTTGCTTTAGGATAATAAACTGCAGTTTAAATTTCTCCACGCGCGACAAGGTCAGACAGATGACGAGCGAGAGGTCATACTCGTAATTCGAAGTAGTTATAAAAAACGACAATACACCTAAACAGTTTCGATTTACAAAGATTATAATGCATTAAAACTCTTTAATTAGAATCCAAGTATTATACTTAGAATTACAGATATCACAATAATTAGTGTTACTTTACATCCACTAAAAAGATAATAACAAAACATATTAAGATGTAATTACTATTACGTTATGTTAATATTACTGGCAGCTATAAATGTATTACTCAATTAAGGATTTTATACAAATGACCCAAAAATCTGATGAACTTTACTAAAATTTTATAACAAGTGTGACGACCTTCAAATGTAGGTAAGGGCTAAACTTTTGGTCAAAATCAAGTTCACTGACTCGACCCCTAAAACGTCAACTAACCTACTCACATTAACGTCGTGACATTCCAGTGAACTTTGCGAGTCCAAACTCGGCGTAATTTAGTAACAACAACCCATACATACTACACAGACAATCAAAACCAGAATTGCCAAATATACAGACCGATTTAGATAATAATGAACTGTATGTCGACGACATATCAATTTTATTCCAGTTTTGAACTTCCGATATCAAACAAACAAATTAATCTCTAGTCTAGGTAAGTCTAGGGATATACGTAGGATTAAAAATATATTAGAAAGTAATAGTCGCTTTGAACAACGAATAATGAATGCAAAATTGCTTTCCATGGTTTGTTTAAAGTTTACAAATATGGGACCGAAAATCTTTTATTTATAACATGTTGTTGTAATGTATGCGGGGTAGTGAATTGAAATTTCCGAAAATCTCATAGTGGAAGTCAAGTAATCTCTGTATGTTCCTATTTTCAGATTTTCATATATTTTGGCTGTACGTTGACAGTCACTCAAAACAAACGGTCTTATAAGTATAATTTAAAATAAACCGTAAAACCGTTTTTCTTTCTTTCTCTTTCTTTCTTTCTAAAAGTTCTCTTCTAAGACTACATTCAGGGCATCAAAAATAAAAATTCCCGGTTGACTGCATCAAAAGAAATATCAATCAATACCTCAATCAATAAGCTTTTTTAGGCTGAACTTTCACAAATCATAAAAAAGAGACTTGCATAGCCTAAGCACATAAGAGAGTGAAATATCCTAAGGAACTACGTAAAATTATGAGGAGCGTTTTTATGAATAAAAGGCTTATTCTATTTGCAAGACGAATAGTTCAAACAACATTATTTAATCCTAATATTCTTTAGAAGAAAGTAACTAACATAATGTCCTTTTTATATCAAAGTCAGCCCGGGTATGATCAATACTATTAACACAACTGCATCGAAATCAAGTAAAATAGATTCAAAATCAAATGATATTCTTATATAATTACAATATATACTAAATATAGAGAAATGTAAAAGAAATAAATGTATTAAATAGTCTCGCACTAACCAACAGAATATGAGGTAATATCGATTTCCAAAAATTTGCCCGCAACACGAACACTATTTACTAATTAGAACGCAAGCAGTAATTAATATCCTTGCGTAAGAATTTTAGTGATTCCATAGCAGCTAAAGTTTATTTATTTTTCTTTTCACTCCATTTCATTACATTACACACTTGAAAATATTCATAATTGCGGCGAGTAATTGCAGTTTTCGCATAAACTGTAATAAATTCGATTATGTATTAAACATATGTACCTACTTGTATTCGTTTATTCTTTTCTTAGATGTTGGGCGTATTTTTTCTTCAATAATGCCAAAATAAGCCTAATATTGTAGTTTGTAGTCATAGGCACTGTGTAATAAAAAAATGCAACCTTATTGAATTTGAACTTCTCTGATCTATTCGATAATTACATTAAAAAGAGATTGACGTGTTATGCAGGATCATAAAGCTTGAAGGTCATCTTCAACTTTGTTTAAACACATTTATGCGTATTAATCAATACGCATAAATATGTTTAAACAAAGTTGCTTACTGTCTACTCAAGTTCTAAAACTAAATTTTGTTGTTGGAGATATCAGACAGTATATCTGGGGTTGTGTCGAGACTTCATTTAGAAAAGTTTGCTTCTTAAATTGATTTGAGAATCAAGCAGACATATTTGTGAGACGAGACTTAACGTATTTATTGCTTGTGTAGCTACAGTATTATTGATTTTCTTGTAAAATTTTATCCTTAATGGATACATTATTAATACAACAATCCGAACACTAATTAGGAATTTAAAGTTTAGATTGCAGTATTATACCGTCCATTCCGATATCCACTCCTTGTAGCTATACTAAGGACTAAATGCAAATTCCAATTCTGCTACAATTGCAAAACACCGCATAACTAAAATACCAAATTCCTAAACTACAGAATTGGATTGCATCAGAATATGCGATATCTACTCGTAGTACTGCAAGAGCCGATTGTAGAATCCTGACATACACAAGATTTCTAATATGTCGGATACTAGTCAAATCATGCTGCCAGTGTATTGGATTCCTAAAATTTAACAGTACGAGTATATTAGACTTTGGTACTATTAAATTGAGAAATCCTATTTATTTAACTGTTTTATAATATATAGCGCATTTAATAATCTTGTAGCGACGATAACAGTTTTGCAGCGTAATAATATTGCTGTATCAGATTTTTGTAATTGTACTTTTTATAAGTAAATTATTGTTGTAAGTAGAGTGGCAAACAGGTTGTGGCATCGCCTGAGGGAAAGTGTGCAGAGATAAACTATACTCAGTATCGACGTTGCGTTAAGTATTTTTATATTACGGCCTCGGTGGTCTAGTGGTTTAGCTTACCGCCTTAATAACGATGGTCGCGAGTTCGATTCCTCTAACGCAACCTTTTTTCTACAAACATTTATATTCATTAGTATGATTATTTGTATCGGTCTGGATGTTTTCAATGTATATTATGTATGAATTTACAAAAACTATATATCTAAGTTTTTCTTACAGTTATCTAGTAACCATAACACAAGATCTGGTTAGCTTGGGACTAGATAACGAATTGTACTGAAATACGTTTTAACATCCCATTTGGAATAATTATATTGTTGCCAAGACACATATTATATAAAATAAATATAAAACATTGTACGATTACATAAAGTACATCGATTTGTTGCACTAAAAATATTTTTCCACCAAGGGATACTGATAATTGGTTGTAATGATAAGAACTGCCTCTTTCTCGTATATCAGATTTTTCTAGCTACAATCGAATTCAAATATATTAGTATATAAAAGTTGTTATACACGTTGTTATGCTTCGAGATGTAAATATGACAGTGGTATCTAAATAGCAGAGAAACATAAAACTAGTAATACATAGTACAGCGACCATTGTTTGCTAAAAACAATGTAACAATTAATTATTAAGGTTATTCATGTAATTAAATAAATACGTCTAATCATACCTATCATTGTATTCATCAAAATGTGTTCACATCAATGTGTGTACTATGTGGATTATTTCCAGGAATATGTAACATACCGAATTTTTTCAACACGAATAATAACTCCAATTAGGAAATAAAAATTGTTTTTACATTTTACTAAAATTGAATTTGGTATTCATCATAAAAATATAATCGGTTTATCTCATTTCGTATTCTATTGATAATAAACATGAAATTGCCAACAATTATTTTCCTGTATGAAGTATTTTCATTTGTACGCGGCTGCTCGGCAAATTTGTTAGATAAACAAACATGATATGGTGGGCAAATTACGGTGCAAATTACGGTTAACCCATTATTTATAGAAACCAGGGTCATTTCAATACTTGCTGATGAACCCAATAAAAACATTCGTGTTAATACTATTTTATTTCTTCTCCCCAACATTCTACCAGGATTTTGTTAAATTGATACACACATCTAGATCATAAAGTCATGTTGTGTGTTCGTGTCTGATAATAATAATAATTGGTAATATACGTTAGAAAAATTAGCTATTACATTCCTTTAAGTTCATTCCAAAGCTTAAAAAAAAGTATATACTTTTATTTATGATAAGTCCATCATATGAAGAAAATCAGTAATATCGTCTGAGTGGAAAAGTATTACTCGCATACTTATATCAACAAAACGTGCTCATGTCTAATTGGAGGGCTGAGTACATATGAGTACATACTTACAGTTATATTAAATATTATCTTCAAGCCGGACGGACAGAGAAGCAGAAAACACATTACACTGATCGTAACTATTCAATAATTTCTCATTTTTATTGTTGAAACATTCTGTCTAGTTCAATATTACGATAGTTCATAAAACTCATTATTATTTTAGACAACTGAAGGCTAATTTATTATCTGCACTTCGCACGCAGAAATATAACAATACAACCGAAGAGTTCGCGTATGATTCTATAATAATAATATTTTCATTTTATTTGGATCGGATCTACTTTTAAGTATATCTTTTCACATGCACTGTTTTCGAACGTCGCCAGCACTACAGTGAGTTACTTCATATACTACCAGACAGGCTAAAATTTATCGACCTAAATACAACGAGACGTACTTAATATCTATAGTTCATAGACTGCGCATATCAAATATGCAAAAATTATATCTAAAACAAAAAAAAACTTAGTTTGAACAGTTCAAAAGCAGACAAAAGAATTAATTAGGTATAGACCAAAAGAATAAAGAAAGAGAATCACATAAAACTTATCCCGTATTTTATTGAGAAATTAAAAAAATTGTAGATCTCTACTAACACTATTCATATTTCTAAAGAACATCACTTAACTGGCACAAAATTAAATAATTTTAAAAAATTACAACTTACTAGACGACAAATTAATAAGTAAGAATTCCGAAAACCTGAAGTTTATGGAAAATCCTTCGTTCAAAATAATTAAGATGAACTATTCCAGCTAGGTCGAGAAAATCTTACGAAAATTTAATAAATTTCTCCTGTAGTAAAAAGCCAATAACCAAACCGCTCGGTTAACGTTGAAGTAGTTAGCTAATATCTTCCTCTTACAGCGTGAGCTTCGAGGTAGTGTACACATATTAATGGAATATCACGGTAAAATACCCTAAGCCGCTCGAGGTGTAAGAAAAGAGGCTACTTTGGTCATTCCAATAGAAGTTTTTTATATACTTGAATTATTACGCATAATTAGTATTCTACTCATTACTTAAAATTATTGACTACCAATATTAATAATATTTATTTTTAGTAACATTGGAAATTAGAAACATAATTTTTAAGATTAACAGGTTATCAAATGTATCATAATATTTAATATAAAAATAAAAGTAGTACCATTCATATGGATTTTCCATCCATAATAAACAACATTTGGGAATATTATGTATTTACATTACACAATTGTATTTTGTATTATATAAGCGATAGTTAACCCAGTAATTCACTACACAGATAATAATTTTACCTTCGCCTTAAACGTACTCATCACTATTTAAATACAATTAACTAATTGTATAACTACAAAACGCGTTTCATTTTATGTTGTTTGAGAACTCGAAACTTGCTGACCCCGATTATTATCATACAATTTCAAGTTATGTAGATAGATTATATAGTCTGCTATTTTACTAAATGAGAAATAACAAACGCTAACATCTCGCGCTAAATATCTCTTACTTTAATTTCATAAGCACCTCATCACGTTCCACCTCGGGCCAAGGCCTCTAAATGGTTACACTTTTTGTACGCGGAATTGCACGCAAAGCAGAAAAAAAGCTATTCAAAGAGCCATGTGTCCCGTGTACGTTACGTGCCATTACGACTGTAATTACTAGTAATAAAGTGTGGTTGAGTGCGTGTGGATAACCGACTAACTAAACCAAAATGAAATAATAACTAAAGGTAAATAGGTTGAAAATAATCCGTTAAATCGTAACCGATGGACACTGATCAACGCATTGCCAGTTACATTAACTGACACTTTTTGTACCAAAGCGGTGAAGGTCGACCTCATTATATCAATAATTTGAGCCACTCGGGCGAAAAAAAATGTTTAATGATTCTTTTTAAAAATAGAATCACATGATCGATTCATTCCAGCTTATTTATATTACTAGCAGCCATAACATTGATGCATGATTAGGAACAACTATCGGGTTCAATGCACTTGTGTGCCGAATTTGAACAATCGGGGATCCAGATTCAAGATGGCCTCTCCGTTTGACCCTTGTTTCAGAACGGGGGCTACGGCTAGTGTATCCCGATCATTTTGCGAATGTCCAGTGTCCATCGACGGCGACCAATTGACACTTGACCCCAACGACGCTTCTGTCGCGACCTTGGACTCGTAAGTACTGGAAAATTATTAAATTGGACGCATGAAGTCAGCGTTTAATTGCGATTCTGATGGGAAACCAGTACTTGCGGTCATACAGGTGACACCTAATATATTAGTACAGGCATCAGTGTTAGCAGCGAAATTTGTAACATGTAGAGGTGTTTTGTTTTCTTTACCTTGGGGCTGTTGTTGAGGAATGTACGGAGTGAGAAGTCTTGTCCGCTTTTTCTCATATCCCTTTTGTGTGATATCACCTGCAACAAAGAAAAAGGTTGAGTTTATTAAATTCATAGCCAAAAAAAAAAACCAGAAGACATAGTATGAGGGCACAGTATTAATACTAGTATTCATTAATAACTCAATAAAAAATATTTAGTAAATAATTATATAATCTAAATTAATACCCAACAAGTATTTTTATACTTGTCCAGCTAACATGCTGAAAATATGAATGGTAGATATTAGTTATGGTCTATTAATTGACACTCGGTTATGTTTAAAAATAAATTCATTCATTTTTAATAAAAAACTTAAACAAGGCTGAGGTAATAAACAAAAAGGATTTGCAAAATTTGCTGAATAATTGGTCAAATTGAACGAGCAATCAGAGCCTCCTTACTTTTATTTGGAAATGATATATATTCAAACTATTTTAAAACTGGTGACAATAGAAGTAGTCATACCACCTAATAGTTCAATAATAAATGATTACGCGTATGAACTACGGTGGTCTTTTTAAAACAGTTCATATACGAGGGCTACACTGAAAGTTTTTAGAACTGGCTACTTGAGAGCAATATAATAAAAAAATTGTTAAAATTTTGAAAATGGAACTCTTTACGAATAGTACTGAGTATATAATTTATTCGTATGTCATGTGTTTTACGGTTTGGCGGCAAATTGAAAATAGTCTGTGTAACGTTATCATGAACTTAACACGAGAAAATTTTCGTGTGATGATTTTTTATGACTTTCGATGTCATCTAAGTCAACAAGAAAGTTATGATAGACTACTATTGGACTTCCACGATGAAGCCCCGTCTCGTGCCCCGACTTAGATGGCAAATTGAAAATAGTCTGTGTAACGTTATCATGAACTTAACACGAGAAAATTTTCGTGTGATGATTTTTTATGACTTTCGATGTCATCTAAGTCAACAAGAAAGTTATGATAGACTACTATTGGACTTCCACGATGAAGCCCCGTCTCGTGCCACTGTTTACAACTGGTTTAATGAGTTTAAACATGGTCGCACTAATCTCACCGATGATTTGCGTGAGGGACGGCCTTCTACGGCGACAACCGAAGATAACATCCGTGTTGTGCGGCGTATGATAGAGACTGACAAAAGAGTGACCTATTAGCAGATCGGGGCAAGCTTAAAGATTGGTATGAGTCAAGTGCACAAAATCCTCCATGAACATTTGGCGGTCAGGAAGCCTTGTGCCCGGTGGATACCTTATAATTTTACTGAGGCTCAAAAACTCCGTCGGGTTGATTGGTGCCGTGAAATGCATGAAAGATTTAACGGAGGTGACTCAAATTCTGTGTTTAACATAGTTATGGGAGACGAAAGCTGGATTTACTGAAACTAAAAGACAGTCAGCTCAGTGGGTGTTTCCTTCTGAGGAGTTGCCAACTGAAGTGAAGGGAGGTCGAAGCATAGGAAAAAAGATGGTGGCCTCGTTCTTTGGAAGAACAGGTCATTACGCGACAATTGTTTTAGAGGATCGAAAAACAGTTACTGCAGAGTGGTAACAATTGTTTGCCACGTGTTTTGAAAAAAGTGCGTGAGAAACGACCTCGCAGTAGGATCCTCCTTCACCACGACAATGCTTCGTCCCACACCGCCAGGCAAATGATCGATTATTTGGCGACCTCAGACGTAGAACCACTGGGTCATTCGCCTTATAGCTCCGACCTCGTATCTTGCAATTTTTATTTCGAGGAAAACGTTTTATGGACGCCGAGGATTCGGTGGCTACGTTTTAGAAGGCCGTCAAAGAGACGCCTAAGGACGAGTGGGCAAAGTGCTTTTCTCAGTGGTTCTATCGGATGCAGCGATGTATTGACGTGAATGGACGCTATTTTGAAAAGATAAAATAAAGGTAATAACTTGCTAATTTAATCAGTTTTTGATTTTCTAAGAACTTTCAGTTTGACCCTCGTATTAATCATAGATACACTTATAAATAGATTTCGCAAGTGTATGTAGTGTGTACTTCACGCTTCCAACATTGATCATTCTACACCTAATTGATTCCAATTAAAATTATATTTTAATTCAGATGATAATATATATCATATTTTAATGGCTCCAGTGGTCCAGCGATTTAACACACCGCTTTATCTCCGATGGTCGCGGGTTCGATTCCACGCATGGTGCTAACATTTGTATTCATGACTATGATTTTTTATTTCGCTCCGAGTATTTACCATGAATATATTATGTATATATTTATATCAATTGTCTAGTACCCATAATACAACCTCTGCTTATGCTGTGTTAATTGTCCAGGATTATTTATTCTGAGTTATATGAGACAAGATTTATATTAAAAATTTCAGAATTAATATGAATAGGTAGCTTCTCGCAATCATCATATGTGCATACATTAGTGCAAGATGTTCTCCATAGGTACATAGACTTTGTAACGTCAAAGCAAGGAGTTGAGTAAAGAGACGCTTGGTTCTGATATACATTGAAGTACTTGCATCGTCTCTCTATTCATGTCAGTGCACATGACGCAGATACCTGTACATTATTACCTACTAACGACCCGCTTCGGATTCATACGGGTGCAATTATAGTAGGGATCTCTGCTTTTGTGAGAATAAAATACATCCCCGTAGCTCGATAGCTTTCTATACTCGAAATATTTCATTTACAAAATCAGTTAGGTATTTTTGAGTTCATCTTTTCAATTCTTTCCTTTTATATTACCAACTTAGATATATAGTCGTGGACAATACTTTTATTTGTAATTAATATATTACTATAAATGGAGGAATGTCTATCAATTTATGCACAAAACACAATAGCGACTATATAATTAACTACGTTTTAATAATCAATAGCGGATGAATCAAGACAATTAAAAACTGAAGATAATACTCATGTTATTACGACCTTGACGGATATTATCGCGGTTTATTTATGTACAAAGTTAGTACTATAGTTTCGTAACGAATTAATAAATATAATAAACAAGATATAACTTTTACATATACATTTTACGATTCAACGGGGTGATTTTGTACCGTGACCTGGTAAAAGGCTTATTACATATATGTATATACTAAAATTTTCTTTAAAATTAGTATAACTGTTAGGGCGCCAAAAAGGTAGCAGATAACCTCATTCTTAATTTTTTTAATACCAGTAATAATAAGGATTATACTTAAACAAGAAACCGACAAGATAGTGAATTCATACTCAATATATTAAGATCTACATATACGCTACAACAAAATGTGACGATTTGAAAATGAAAATCAATAGCAAGTAATAAAATTTTAGTACACCAATAAATAAAAAAATAACGTCACCTTCACTATTAATTGCTATAAGTAAAAGTCGTTAATGACCCGGTTGTGATGATAATTATATATAATAAAAGATTACATAATTACTTACCATTAATCGAAATATAATACAATTAATTCCATAATTACCTCGTGATTAATTTCCAATTCTAAAGATTTCACTCATACCGGACACAAATTCAACCTATACGTCAATGAATACGTATCTATTAATGTTTTGATTTTTAATTCACATCATCTATTTAAAATAACATTTTAAACAGTTTAACTAATTGCAATCAATATTATTTTCCCTGTGGCCAATAAATAATTCACTAGGATTAATAACACTTCTTTGATTAACAACGGTCGGAATGAAGACTGACAGTTCTAAATAGTGACACTCGGACATATAAATCATTAATTAATTTATTAATTAATTATACAAGATTATCAGCGTTATAACCAGGGGGCACAGTTCATATATCTCAAGTGCTGTATACAGGATGGACTAAAAGTTGTAGATATACAAAATGCAATATTTCATATAATACAAAATGGTAAATCGAAAGAGTAGAAAAAAGAAATTAAACAACAGTAATATCAGAATATATATATCGTGTCTATCAATTCTCTAAAAATATATTAAGTCTATTTGAATATTTGGTTGGATAGATTCTTGTTAATTTAGAAAAACGTAAATACAATTTACGTTTATTCTAAATAGTAAAAGAATATTTCCTTTAGTAAAATTGCACGAGTAGTATTTTTTTAATGTATCACGTTGCAGACAAATCCGAATTCAATATGTTAAAAGTAATTGGTTTGTTTAGAAACTCATTGTTTACAGTCATAATTTTAAATAAATATTCCATCCTATATAATACTTTTACGGCATGTAACATTACATATGTAGTTGACAAATGATAAACAGATGTTATTTATCAATACTGCAGTAAGTAACATGAGCGGTTTTACAATCATAAATAACTCAATGTTATCAAACATGCTCAAAATAGTCTGCCATATGTAATTTAGATACATGTTCTGTGTTTCGCAAATTCATTATCATTTTAGACATGGTGAACTACTGTAGGTCTACTATATATAAATGCAAAATTTATTATCTGAATCTCAAACTCATCTAAAGGCATGAAATAAACCGTAAAATTTTAAGCTTTACGATCAAACAACAGTTAACATTGATTAGACAAAAAATAATACAAAATTAAATTCGATGGACCAGCATAGAGTATATAAAGAATGATATACTTCAATAGTCGACAATCAATAACTGTATGCCAGTTATTGGTTGATGATGATGATATGGTTTATATGCATACTCACTCATTAATTTCAAACTAATCTGCTCTCTATGTTTAATTAAGTCTGAACACTAGAATAAACGCTCTGTATCACACGGGAACGCCCCATGCACTCGTCGACACGACAATTTCAACGCCTTTTAGCACGACTGAGCAGAAAAGAAAGAATATTTTTTACTCTAAGCTTTTCTAGCTTGAGTTGCCATCAATCCGGATATTATTTCGGATTTGTCTTCGTTCAAAGAAAATCGTGTAACGTGATTGTATTTTATACAACCCGCAGGTTTTAAAGTTTCTGACATGAAGTCTTAAAACTCCTTTAAAGTTCGTAATCAGAAAATTGAAGGAGAGCAATTGAGCTAGGTTAATTACCAATATTAATTAACAGATTAGTTGTGAGAAA